GGGGCCCTTGTCCAACATGCGCAACTCCAACCTGGGGCCCTTGTCCAACATGTGCAACTCCAAACTGGGGCCCTTGTCCTGCCTGTGCAACTCCAGCTTGGGGCTCTTGCTCCGCCTGTGCAACTCCAACCTGGGTCCTTTGCCCCACCTGTGCAACTCTGGCCTGCGGCCCCCGTCCCACATGTGCAACTCCAGCTTGGGGACCTTGTCCCGCATGCACAACTAAAGCCTAGGGCCCTTGTCCAACATGTGCAACTCCAACCTGGGGCCCTTGTTCCGCATGTGCAACTTTATCCTGGGGCCCTTATGCCACGTGTGCAGCTCCAGCCTGGGGCCCTTGTCCCACATGTGCAGCTCCCGCCTGGGGCCCTTGTCCCGCATACGCAACTCAAGCCTGGGGCTCGTTATCAATTATGTACAACTCTACCCTGGGGCCCTTATCCAACATGTGCAACTCCAGCCTGGGGCCCTAGTCCCGCGTGTTGTAGATGCATTGCTGATGCAATATTTCAATTTTCTTTGAACTTAAACTGACAGCAGTGTCTCTGGATTAAATTTGACCCCGTGACCCTCAGTCGCCATCAAGCTCTTAGCTCACTCATTTTCACCAAGGCCTTTGTAAGCGTAAGAATTTGCAGTAAAGGATACACCCAACACCAGATACCGTATTTAATGTCCCTTTAAAGCAGATCAACAAGATTGAGTTTAAAATAACCGATCTGTAAAATAACTGAAAATCACAAATGTATATTTTGTTGTTTATATTAAAAGCAAGAAATTTAGGTGATATTATGTATATGTTAGTAAAGATTACTTTTATTCCTTTCAGTGCTAATAATTTTCTCCCCTATTGTCATGGCTCAATAACTCAGAGTAAATAATTCAAATAACTCATATTCGGGGACTTTTTCTGTAATAAATCAGAAGAATACAGTCAATGATTCAGCAGAAATAAGATGTTTTATTGCAATAAAAAGTTCCAGCAAAGCTTGCTTACACACATTTGAAAGAAAAACGTTTAACAATTTTCCAAAAGATTTATTGACCCAAAGGAATTTTCTAGACTAGTTACTGAATGTTAACCTTTTTTTTTGCAGACTCAGAACTGCTTCAGTTACTGAGCCCATCATCGATCGCAGCAGAAAGCTCAATTTATATCTGGCAAAGTTGTCGTATCTTTGTTTCTTAGCAAAGACCCATTTATATCTAATTCATATCTTATTTATGGTTTCATTCCAGGATATTCTAGTCTAAAGTTGTAACAGCCTCAGACAACTGAAACTTTCGATCATAGCGTGAAGAAACAAAAAGAAAAACCCAAACAAGAAGTCATTTTTTAACTAAAGACGTCTCCATACATTCAATCTTTAAAGTGAAACTTAAAGGCACAATAGAAATCAGCAAGAAATGCTCACATTGCATGAATCAGTCATAACTAAAACCATAATAAACCAGGAAGAAGAAGAAATACTGGACCAGTGATGTAACCACAGGGGATTCGCATCACTTCGCGTTAAAGCAGAATACCTCCTGAACCACTTCCAAAAACATAATCCCAGTCAGATGAGGGTTTGATTAACATAACACACAGACAGGAAGCAGGAGTCTAAGCCACATGTATGCATAGCTATCATCTGTATTTACACATTATGGGAAACACTGTCCCCGATAATAAAAAAAAATATCCACCCCTACAGTGAAATATGGAGGGCACTGCCTCCGATACGGACACACGCTGGTAGGCAAAAACTACCTTCTCCCCCCACCCCTGCATTATGGAAAACACTGTCCCCGATAATGCTGTCAGAGAAGTGCACATGTACCGAGAGACCCGGCTGGGGACGCCGGAGCAGCCGCCCTGTTCTGAGTGTTCGGTCCGGGCCGTCGGTTCACATGCACACTTCGTTTAGCAGATGCTGCTTTTGTCATTTCGACAGTATAACTGTCATAATTATGGAAGGCACTGCTCCCGATAATTATATATAAAAAAAAGGCAATATAAACTATTTATAGTGAACCCTGTCACTGATAAATAAATAACAATAAATAAACACGGTTTCTGGTTCAGTGCCATGTGTTTTTACACCTTTACCCCCGCTGGCTTTTGGGGAAAGGTCGACACATATGAGGCCTCCAAGGCCGCGTGATCTGCTGCTGATTGGTTCAGGACTATTACATCATCACACGGCTGCAGATGGGTCTCTGTTAAATTAACTACTGTTCATTTTAAGCACCATCTGAGACTGATCAGCTGGGTTTCATAATAAAAATCACAGCTTCCAACATTAAACCAGCTCAGGTTTGAACATTTGGGATCAGCAGCAAACAGCAGGCGTTGGAATCATTTTAGTAAACAGGTAGAAAGTCAATGGTTTGTGATGCTGCCCTTAATAGTTGCTACGGCCAATCAGGATGTTTGACATTCAGCTGGTTAACAATATAAACTATAAAATGGGCACAATATTTTTAACAGCACCAAAACATTTAAGATTGTTTTTTTTTAAGTGTCTCATTTGAAGTAAAAATAATGAGAAAAATTAAATAATAGATTATGGGCACTTCAATTTTAAGAACTTTGGATTTTAAAGGTTGTGCAACTGTTGGCTGGTTACACAATAGGAGGTCAGAATGGTGAAGAAAGGGAGTCAGCAGGAGTCGAAGAGTGGATTTAGATTTCGTTATCCAGAGACCAGATGTTCCCTGCTAAGGAGTTGGCGCAGCCCTGGATGGTCCAGGTAGCCAGGGCAAACTGGCTGCGGAAAAGCTCGGCATCTGCTTGGAGGTTGTCAGTCTTCAGATTGTCGAGGTGTTTGATGAGAGCTTTAAAGGTGTGCTGGCCTGAGCCGCCCAAGATGTGGCGGAAAGGGACCTCTATGGGGGAAACGTAGTGGGACAGCAAGTTTCTTTCCACCTGCAGGAAAGGGAGGGAAGTTGCATCCGTCAGTAATTTATTATAAAAGCAACCAAACCAATCAGTAAAACTAATATATATAAAAAAAGTTTTTCTTTATCTAATGAATCAGAGTTGGTCCACAACAAATATAGCCTCGTGAGACCATCCTGATCTCGCGAGCTTTCAAGATTTCATTCGCTAATCAGTCTGGAGACTCTCCGTTAAAGAAAATTTGGAGCCGTTCACCAAACGAACGTCCAATCAGCTTTGGCTTTGAGGCGGGTTGAGGTGTGACGCAACGAGAAGCGCGACAGTTCAGTCTAAAGAACATGGCGGCTTCAGCCGATGAAACTAGCGTTAGCGTGGCTATCGAGCAAGTTTTATCGGAATTACAGAGTATTTCTTCACTGAAAGAAGAGCAAAACACTGCTCTGAAGGCTTTTCTCAGAGGAAAAGATGTTTTTGCTCTTCTCCCGACTGGTTTCGGCAAGAGTAGCTTGGCTTGTGGTTGTGTTAGTACGTCATATGCTTCGTTGATCTGACTGGTTTATTTGGCCCGTCTATCACCAACATAGGCCAATCAGCTAACCAGTATTTTCGCCCCTTCCCAAAATTACTTAAACGGAAGGTTTCCAGATGGATATGCGGAGCAAATCCATCTGGCGGAGTCAGGTTACAACAAATATGCATTATGCTGGCAAAAAAAAGGCATTGACTTCAACTGATAACTAAAAGCACTTCAATCTCCTGCCAGCAAGTTTTGGTGGCCTTACCGCCATGATGCGGTCATTGATGATGCGACACGTTTCAATGTCCTCCAGGTCACTGTTCTGGATGTCTGTTTGCAGGTTCTGAGCGGCACGGCTGTAGGAGCCTAGGGCGGAGATCAACCACTGCATCGTAATAGTTTTGGGCAACAGCTGGGGGTTCAACTGGAAGAACAGATAAATAATAATAAGATTAACAACAGTAGAAATGCCCCTGCAGGAGCATCTCCCACAGTTAAATTTATACCACCTTCAAATGAACAAACTTGTGTTAAGCTTAAGCAATAAAAATAGCACTGTATTACTAAAGCAATATTACTATTTTAAGTAGAATTCAGCAAATTCCTACATAGCTGCAGCCAAATCTCTGCTACTTCTTACAGCATGTAACAATGTAATTAAGGGTGCCAAAAATCCTTAGTATGAGCGTCCATTTAAAGGAGAGTGAGAGTCTGCAAAGCAGAGAAAAAAACCTTAGACGTGTGATCTAAAAACAGCTTCCAACAACAAATTTGGTGCGTTCACAACAAAGGCATTTTGAGCTTTAAAATAGGCCTCTGATGCCTCGAGTTGGACGCTTGTGTTGTGAAGTCAGATGCTCTGGATGCTTGCTGCTCGAGGCATTGATCTGCTCTGTTCTTTGCCTTTCAATCGATTAAAGTAGCTTTCCTTTATTGACATTGATGAGTTGGGGGGGAAAATAGTATTCCAAAACAGTATAAAAACAAACCACTGGACTTCTTTTACAAGTTTTAAGACATTTCGCTTCCTATCCAGGAAGCTTTCTCAATTCAAAATGTCTGAAGTAGTGTTGAGTTCCAAGGTAATAGGGTAGCCCAAACGAAACAAAAGTAGTTTTAGCATGTCTGTGAGCAAAGAAGTCAGCCTCAAAACCTCACCTGTGCAGTCCGTGAATCAGGGTTCTGATCCAACTTATATATTGGATTCTTGCAGAACTCACTCAGTTCAATAATAAAATATTTTTATGGTGTAATAATGATTAGAATACAGTGAAACAGTAATATTTCTGTTTAAGGTCCTTGTCTTCTTTAACATCCTCTTAATGAAATGTCAGAAAAAAGAAGAAGGATAGGCAAATTCTGTTACTGTGCACTGCTGGTCAGCTGGCTTAAAGAGGGTTCAGACATTTCTTATGAGCAAGATACATTTGGTGATATTTAGTAAGTATTCTATGGTTTGCTTAAGTATCATATATAAAAAAGAAGAAGTTGGAATAATTGTTTTCGTTTCTGGATTAAACAAAATAAACTAGAATGTCTTTAAATCTTTTGTTATCATAGTAAACATGAGGCGTTTTTAGTTCAGTTCATTTAACTGTGAGAACGTCACACTGCAACAAGGACAGACACTGGTTGCTCACTGAGATAAAAACACCAATTCCCAACTCACCCGCTGAACATCCCTGACTTTTCCGTTAATTCTGACAACTTGGGAACGTATGATCTTGTAGTATTTCATCAGATCCATCTGCAGCAGATGGTCGTGGACCAGCCTCAGGGCCATATGGCCAGCAAAGCGCCCCGCCGCCTCAGCCAGCTGAGGAACCTGTTTGGATGTGGCGATGTTCAGATTCTCCAGGGTGTCCTCCAGGGTGCCAAGGTATTTGTATTCCTGAGAGGGTAAACAGGAAGGAAAATGTATTTATATGGCCAGCCGCAAGACAAATTCCTCATAGGCTGATGTTTCAAGGAAGCTGCTTTAAAAATAAGTAGAGATGAATGAGAATGACTCACTGCGTTGTTAGAAGAAAACCGAAATGCTACTGATGGAATTCCAGAGAAGGCGAGAAATGGATAGGCAGCGTTATCCATCTGCATTTGCTCCAGACTTTATAAAAACAACGACAAAGAAGATTAGAACTAACAAAAGAAATATCTGGAAAAATTCAGGAAGTTGAAATAACACACTTACATGGTTGACTCCCAGTCATTCTTTGCAAACTGATTAAACAGAGTAATCTCTTTGTTTTTTACCTACAACAAAAAAAGATCTTATTAACATTATGATTAGGAAGAGAAATGTACTTTAAAAACTAAACCTACTGAAGTTTTACCTCCTTTAGAGTCTTTTCAATCAGAGTGTGCAATAGGGGACTAGCTGCTACTTTAAATCCATTCTGACCTGAAAATAAGAAATTATTTTTTTAGAAAAGACAAAACCACAACTTATACAGCATCAGTGGACACCACAGACGTATGACATGACTGTACCTGTTACAATGCCATCCAGGCTGATGTAAGTGAAGGCTTTCATGTTCAGAGAAGACAAATATCCCTACAGGAGTCAGCAAACACAGGGGTTTGGAATCCAAGCACAACAACAAAGGCAGAAAAATACAATAAAAATGTCCTGCACTTCTCACCTCCAGCCACTCGGTGGCGCCAACACTTCCATATTCTCCCGCTGTCCAGCTAGCAAACACAATGCTCCTCCTTGGCTTGAACCCATCTGCCAAAAAAAGAAAAATGACAGATGTTAAAGGTATAGAAAAAAATCTTTTATTTCAGGGTCGATCATCTAAATAAGTGGTCCTCCTAATTGTCAATCATTCTGGTGATGTTTACGTAAGGCCGTCCTAGATGCTCATCCCCAGCTAGCTATACTTTTTGATACTTTTGAAGCTCAGCTTTTCTCAGGGTCTTTGGTCTTTGACAATGGCTGAGAGTCATAAGAGAAAAAGTAACTACGAAGTGTATGAGAAGAAGAGAAAGGCCTCAGAAGACAGAAACATGACCAATGGCGTATACTTAGCCTGGGTGCCATTCCGAACTTAGTCCCGCCTACAATGTTTGAGGTCGGGAAGTCTGGTCTGGCATTGCTCAACAGTAGCGCGAGTATGCTTGCACAATATCTGGCGGGCAAATCAAATTGTCAGGGCGGGCTTTATACGATGATGGACAGTTGATCAACAGTAACGTAATCAACCACGTCACCGAAGCGCGCTTAGGTGAAAACAACAATGGCTCCCGCTGGGAAGTTGAGGTGAGTAGATTCTGCTATTAGGTCTGTTCTAGAAGATATCGACAGCAAATTAATTTTAAAAGAGGAACAGAGAAACGCGATCAAGGCTCATCTTCTTATTCTAGGTGTGCAACTGCATGCTTTCATTTTTGGCAACAACTATGCGTCGCTTAACATACGTCACGCACTCCGTTGCTCTTATTGGTTGTAGGTCTATCCAATTGAGTGCAGAGGCATTTTTTTTCCTGGTTCGTTCGAAACACGCCCCATAATCACAGCTCTATGGAGCAGTATCAGACTCAGATTCTGACTAGAATTGAGTAGGACTACGTCAGGCTAGCGTATACTAGGGGTAACCAATTAAAAATCATCGGGGTCCGAATAAAGAAAATCAACAGCAAAGTCTGAAGACATTTTTAATTATAATCCGTAACTTTAAAACAGAATTTAACACTGAAATAAATTGCAGGCGTTTATGGATCCATGTCATACATTGACTTTTTAAATAAAAAATTGAAGAAATTTTATTTTTCAAAATCTAAATTGTTTTTGAAGAAGAGAACAACAGTCGTTCAGTTTGATTTAAAGACAATTTCTTGGCTCACTTTGTTTCATAGAACACCTGAACTGACCATGTTTTTTTGTTTTTTTTCCCCCTTTTTTTCTGTCTTAATGAGAGCAGTGGGCTTTAGGCTGCCATGCAAGGATTTAAACCTGGGTTTCAATGGAGATACAGCCATTCTCAAGCTCCTATCAAGGTGCTCATTTTGAGCCTGGATCCATATTTGTTTTTGATTAGGGTTATGGTCGAGAATCCTGCTTCACAGCAGTAGGTTGAGCCAAACATACTCAAAATATCCAGGGTCATCTTTGAGCACGCCATTTCCAGTTCACAGCAGTTCTTGCAGCAGTCCACACTTTCTTCAATTTTTCTCATCGTCTTCTCGTTTCCCCCCCCCCCAACGCCCGGTTTGCCATAGGTTTGCCTGCTATTTCTAAAAGTAGCTTGCAGCGATGACCCTCACCGTCATTTGCTAATTGGCATCACGTGCAGCCTTGTCCTGGAGGCTTTTACCGTACAAACAGGAGAAGCGTCCAAGTGAAATTAGACACTGCCGTCGCACAACATGTGGTAATTTATAAATGTTTGAAATCAGGTTAGGTCCGGATTAGTCAGCAGGTGGGTCCGGATCAGGACCCCGGTCCGCGAATCCGTGACCTCTGGCGTACACTGAAAGCACAGGTTGGGCTTACCACTGACGCAGCAGTTGCGAAGTTTCTACTCGACAGGTAAAGTTTAGCATGCTATTTGGAGAAATCCATTTCACATCAATGCTAGTAAAAGTTATCTACCTCTATATTGTAACTTTCCTGGAAAAATAAGTTTGTTTATTTTGTAATTTGCATCGTTAATAGTTATAAGGTAGCTACAGATCCTTATTTATCCTGCAAACATGTAAAAAAATACAAGCATGTCATGATTATTTTTATTTTCTTATTTGCGGGGAAACTTTTATATATATATAAATATGGGTGACACGAGATCCATCTCAGCACTTGTCTTATCACTGCACCTCCTCAAGGAGAAATGGGCTCGTGCTCTCGCACATCTTTAATTTAAAAACTTTTTCCAACACATTAAGAGAGGACCATAAAGAATGACAAACTCACCATTCTTCACCATGTCTGAAATGGAGCGAGCCAGTTCAACGAGGACAGTGGTGCCAACGGTTGAAGCTGCAAAGCCTGGACCCCATGCGTCCCTCTGGGCTCCAATGACCACGTATCGGTCTGTGGAGAACGGAAGAGGAGGTACAGCTGCTGATCTCTTCCAAACACATATGCTGTTCTCTCCCTTCTCAATCTGGCTTTAATTTTACCTGAATCGACGAAACCTTTGATGACCCCGAACACATTGTTGATCTTCTTTTCAGTAAGGACGTTCTGGACATCCACAGTAATAGTGTCATTCACATCTCCCAATTTGATGTAGCCTTCCCATCCCTCCGGGTTATTTGGACCACCGAGTCCTCTATGGGTTCAGCAAAGGAACATATTGTTAGAGGTTTCTTATATTAAAGTGCAAAAGAATAAACAGAACAGGCCTGAAAGCTAAGTATGACATTTACCTGAGGATGTTGCTTGCCATATTCCATGAGATGGTCTGCGCCAGGATTTTGGGCAGGCCTGAAGACTCCACAGGAGGAAACTGAGTGTGGTTGAAGGAGGGGAAGCCTGGAGTGTAAGGATCCCCAGAGCCCAAGTGGACCTGCAGGAGACAGGAGAGAGAAAATTAGGAGATCTGATTCTTCAGTTATGTTTGATAGACCTTAATCTTTCCGTCTTATTTTACACCACATTGAAAAGTGCTTTGTTTATGTATATATCCAGTAGGGGGAGCTCTAGCATCACCCTAACTGTAGCAGGCCTTTGAAATGCAGCTGCTCCATTGTTTCATAAATGTTCTGCAATAAAAGAAATCTGCTACATTAATCTTGATCGTAACCTTTATGTCCTTTTGGATTAAAGTAACTGCCCGACGGTACAATTAAAGATCAGCTATGCCTATCAGAGAGTCAATATAAATCAATAAAACATGAAATGCATGGATATTATATTTATTTATCTCTTTGGAATCAGAAAAATACCAGATACTAAATAAATACCACTGAATTCCTAACAAAATATTAATTAAATTCAGTTTCTGGAAAAATGACATCAGACCAACAGAAATGTGTTGCATTTGCACAAATGGCTTTAGCTCCAAGGGGTCACCGCAATCAGAAAAGTGAATGGAAGGAAAAGCTGTGTTAAAAAAATAAGCACAAAAAGCCATTTCATTCATTTAAAGGCCTAATCACACTAATTTAACATCAGGTCCAGGACTCACGTGTCCATAAAGCTCAGTGTTGTCTCCAAAGCTGTAATCAGATGGATCTGGGTAAATTAAAACAGCAGAGGCGTTCATTTTGGCAGCGTTGGCAACCTGTAAAAGAAAAGAAACAGAATGTATAAATGTGCCAATTTCAGAAAATGTTCAGAAAGGTTGTTTATGTTGTTTTAAAACAAGTCACCTTCTCAGCATAGCTAATCTTTCCACGTCTGACCAACATAACTCTGCCGTTCATGTCGACGTTCTGCCCCCGCAGCTGCCTGAAGTCAGCCTCCTGGCCATAACGAGCATACAGCACTGCACCCTAAACACAGCAGGATTCTGCTTAACTACAGCCACTAGGTGTTCTGGGTTTCTCTCTTTTTTAAGAGGATTTTTTTTCCCACCTGTACTGATCCAGTTTTGCTGTAGGACAGAAATCCCTTTGGACGGTCCTCTGATGTTTGCTTGAAAATGATTCTGTTGTAGCCAGACGTGGGGGCTTCTTGAACCTTGATGAAGTGCTCATCTGTCCAGGTCTTCATACCATACTCCTTAAATCTCTGCAGCACTCTGTTTCCAAGGTATTCGTCTGTAGGGGAGCCAGCCTGGTGGCTGACCGCAGAAAACTCACTGCAACAGAATAAAAAAGTTTTACCCATGTAAAGTAGCAAAACAAACAAAACAAAAAAAAATACTGCCACGAATTTACTAGTGGCAGTATTTTTTTGTTTTGTTTTAATGAGCGGGTCAATTTTCTAATCACCTGAAGGCTTTTTCTAATTTGGCAGCGGTGAATTTGTCAGCCAGGAGATGTTTGACATCATCCCAGTCCATCAAGGGGGCGGCGCCGGTCTCGTGGGGAACGTCGCCTTCAATGTTACTAACGGAGGAAGCACAGACAGGAGCCGCCTCCTTTTTCCCCTCAGTCATGTAACCAATCAGGTATCCTGAAAGCAATCAGATGACTCGGGTTAAAAAAAAAAAAAAAAAAAAAAAAAAAAAGAAAAACAGAGACCAAAAGATGAAAAAACAAAAAAAAAAAAAAAAAAAAAAAAAAAGAAAACAACATAAAAAAAACAATTATTTATTAAAAAATCAACAAAGTTTTTTGTCAAAAATAAACAAATCCTTTTCCTTTTTTATATTAAATAAAAATTTCATTGAAACAAATCTCTGCAAACCCGCACTACTCCCAAGTATTTGGTAAAAATGACAGCAAAACTCAAATCTTTACTAGACGGAAGAAGAATAAGAAGATGGAATAATAATACATAAAGAGATACAGGAACACAATAGTCCGAATGTTTTCACACCAAAATGTTCCCTAAAGAACGCCCAGGCTCCTTGTTTAGCGTGTGAATCTTACCAATGATGAAGACGAGGAGGATGCCAGCAGCCATGAAGCACAGGTTTTTGGGCGTTCGGCCCAGCTTTTGAGCCACGTAGGGTTTCCCATTGGAGTTGGAATGACGATGTTCACCCACGCCGTTTTCCCCGACCTCCTCGTCCACGTCAGATGACAGCTTCATCTCCACCTGGCTGGTGTCACCTTCCATGTTCTGGGTCAAGTTGAATCGCGTGTAGGTGTGTGGTTCACCGTTAAACTATAGAACAAAAAGAAATTGCAGAGCTAAGAATAAAAAAGAATTGTGAAGATAGCTGGTGTTATGGAAGGTGTGTGCAAACGGCAACACTCCATTAGTGAAAGATTGTATTTAAACTGAGAATAAATCCCACAGACGTGGGCTCACTTTACTAATCTGATGATTTGTGCAGATAACCCCTAGATTGTACTTAGGGGTACAATAGGTAAGGGGTCTCAATACAAATGGATGCATCAATATTCTTAATTTTAATTTTGTGAAAGGCATGCAAGTAAGTCATTTGGGGTTCAAATGAGTCTGAGCCATATTTTTTTTTACCCCAGATTCAATTAGGTTTATGCTTCAACTTCAAGGACTGGAGGATGGTTTTGCATTTTTTGCAGGTAGGTCTTAAATAAACTACTTGCATTAGGAATAGAGAATAGGATCTATGGATGTGTGGACTGAAGGTCTAACTCCCCCAGAAAATTACACATAATAAATCTGCAAATTATGTTTTTTTTTGTTTTTTTATTGTTTATATTAACAAAAATAAACTTCTTTAAAACAAGCATCTCTTTAACGGCCAATGTAATAATAGAAGAGAATGGATCCTTTTTTATAATCAATACTGAAAAACACCATTTTGATCTTAATCAATACAAGTTGACCCATTCTTATTTGCCCAAGATATCAGACCTCTTCTGGTCAAATCCTCGCTGCAGAAGCTCATATTCTGCTGCATGGTGACTATAACCACAAAAGAGGAACAATCCCTTTACGACTGACAAAAAAAGAAAGAAAAAAAAAAAAAGAAGAAAAACACAGATTACAGAAAATGAACCTAATTCGTGGGAGCTGAAAGCTAACTGGAGAAGAAGCCTTTTCCTACATTCTGGTAAACCTTAACCCGTTGTTTAACATTTACTTTTCCCTGCATAAATAAGAGAAAGGCAGATGTAGATGCCTGAGCCAAAGCTCAGGGCAAATAGCAAGACTGCAGAACCTGACAAACACCAAAGATTCATGCGGTGGAGACAGTTCATCTAAAGGTGCAGGACATGGGACCTTCAGGACTGGATATTTAGGAACTCTGATCTAACTTATGCCTTAAGATCAGTTACGTCTCTGGTGAAATTCACAAAGTTGACTATAATCCAGTCAAAATGTATAATGATTTTCAGATTTCACTCACAGCTTGTCAGAACCATTCATTACTCACCCTGGACCTCAGTAGTAGCAAAACTGGTAATCTGAAATAGATCCATTTCAAAAGGCAAGAAAAAATAGCAGTGAAATAATATCAATAAATAAATTAGATAACAGCAATCTGATCATAAAGATTTTAAGTTGTCAGACTTTGCACCAAGCGCCACATGAAACAGAAAACATTTATACTTTATCGGAATTTATCTTTAGTACTTGCTAAAAAAAAAAAAAAAAAAAAACCCCCAGAAAACAGCTCCAATGTGATCACGTTATTCTTTCTGTTTCTAACTATTCCCAGGATTTTCAGCTGAAAATCCCTAAAAAAAAAAACCCTCTCCAAATTAAACCTTTTATAGCTCTTGAGCCATATGGAGTAAGAATAAAGTTCAGGGCTTTATGTAAAGAACACACTCTAGTTTTCACCCTTACATTCTGATTTACTGTAAGTTCACTGCTGTGTATGTGGTTTGCTTCATAAAACAGCTCTGAATGTAAAAAACAATTCTCGCCGGGATTTTCTATGTGAAAATAATTAAGAATTGAAGGAGGCAGTTCATTCCAACAGGCAGGAATTAACTGTTTGACACAATAGAAACACTGTTTTATATCCTGGCAAGCAGCCTTCCAAATATGATTGGAATATCTGCAAAAATGGTATTTCTACAAGTGCTTATCTAGGACTATGTATAGGCATTTTTGTAGAGGGACTGTTTGGCACAGTTTGGAAACCCCAAACGGCCACGAATGTATATTTTATAGACGAAAGGCCACCATTTTTGCATACTTCAACATAGAAACATCAGTGATGCCTCTTTGGAGAGATATCACTTAGATGAATCAGACTAAACTGTCAAAATTGTTCAAACACACATTTTTATTGAAATAAAAAATGAATATAAAAGGTTAAAAAAAAAAAAAAAAAAACTTCAGGGAAAAATCTGAATACATATGGCATATAACAGAAAATTGATAAAAACTATTTACAACCTAAAACAAATCTGTGTGACCAAATGGGCTAAATACTGCGGTTTTAGTAAAAAAAAAGACATGGGAGTTTTTAGGAGATTTGCTGTCAGTTGGATAGAGTTTGGATATATTCTAAGAATAGATTGGTTGTTATTCCAACCAATCTAGTTGGTTAAAACTATTTTGGGTAGATGAAGCAATGTAATGATCAAAACTTGAGCAAGCAGCTAGACACAGTTGTAACATTTGTTTTAAGTAGTATTGCTGTCTGATGAGCAGTTACCAGCATTGGTGGTGTACGCTGTAAGACATGGACCCCCGCTTGGTAGGCTGTTGGTTCAAGGCCCACCTTAGACTTTTTAAAGTTGCGATAACACTTCTGTAACCAATTTGTATCGGTTTTCCCTAGTACAAATATCAAGCTTTATACAGGAATGAGTAACTCTAATTTAATGCTCTTAGAAATAATTTTAATGCCATCAACAAGTACCCATGACACTCTATATATATATAAATATAAAATTTGGCAAAATCCTTCATCATCTTTACCTTCGACAGGCTGCAGAGTGCAGACATGTTCCGAATTCCTCGTTTTCCAGCCACTTTTGTTGAAACGAGCATTTTTTCCATTCTCTAGATTTTTCTCCGCCTAGAGCTTCTTTTCCCGAACATACAGCTTCAAAATTAACCAGAAGCAGTTCCGCACAAACACGTGGAACCAGTTATATCTGATATACCTGACAAAATTCTTTTTATAACCTGTAGGTGGTGACATGTTTACACAAAGCCTCATGAACTGTGGGGATCATTGAAGCAATTTGGAGAAAAACGGTTCAATGCCTCATGAGGCTTCGTCTCACCATCACTAGTTTTTACTGGTTGGAAAATGAGGTCATAAAAGCAAGTCCAACCCATTACACATGATTGACAACAATTGGCATTCTGCTGATCCAGCCTGTCCTCATCGCCCTGTAACTGGTCAAATAGGGGTCAATCAAGCCAGAACTTCCAGTTTCAGATAGCATTCAATGCTATGTTTCTAGCATCTTGCATGGGGGGATTTTGAGAGAAAATATGTAATTTTGGTGGTGTTTTTTTTCCTGATGAGAGTTATCCTGCAATATTCGTGCCTTTGTGAATTTTATTTGACATTTGGAGACATCATTGTACCAGATTATCCTTTTTCTGGCTGTTTCGAGCAGAAAGGCACCAAACTTGGAGGGAAATATTGGAATTCACTCCATGGGATGACTGAAAGGTAAGAAAATGAACTTTTTGAGTTTTGTGTATCTCTCAAGAGGTTCAGCATGCTTGGTGCCATTGGGAAGAGCAGAAGGAGAGCTTTCTTTAGATATGCGGACATATGTTGACAGTGAAATACTCATATGTACATGCACTGAATGTTCAAACCCGTCCCCGGGTCGCTGGCGGTTCAGGGTAACTCAAGGACATTAAAGTAACTCTTCCCCAAAAATGTTATTGTTTAGATCAGCTTATTTTACAGTGGCTATAAGGAAAATCTGAGGCTGTGATACATGAAGAGGTTTTAGCAAAAGCTCGACACTGTGAGATGTCAATAAGTCTCACGTTGCCCCATCCAGTATGAAGGTAAAGAGTTAAAATTCTTTATTCATCACTCAGTGGTAAAATATATTGATCATAATATTAAATTGACAGAACAGACCAGTAACCATGTAATTTGCACGACTGAATAGAAGAAAAATATGTGCATAAAAAGCAAACATTATACAGCGTTAGCTTGTAAATGGTTTTGCAAAACAGGGAAACTGTACTTATAAATGTTATATAGTTTTCTATATGGGAGCCGAATTGTCTCCTCATTGGTTTTGTTTTACATAAAGAATTTAAAACGTTGTCATATTGTAGCTAATCATATGTTTTGCTTTTAAATAGAAAGAACACTTGGCTTGCAAAAAAAAAAAAAGTGAAAGAATGCTAAGTTATAACAATAACAGAGAATCAAGGGTTTATTTCTTAGACTTGTAATTGGGTTTCCATAAATCTGAATAATATAGAAAAACTACAAACTGATGACGTTTTGGAGTCGGTTCAGTACTTACAATTTTAGATATCGTTGACCTTGCTTGTTCCATCGCTGCTTCTTAGGACTCTCTAGAAAATAAACACAAAAATAAGACTTAATTACCAGACAAAACAACTGCAGACGTTAGCAATTCACTTTCAAAACCCATTTCATTCTAAAGAAAAAGAAAACCACGGTGAACCGCTGCTACTATGTTGATGTTTTCACTTCTGTTTTTTCCCCTCTTCCTCTGACAAACAGCTCCCTGTTCCACTAAAGCATTATTCTGCTTCCAGAGATGCTGTCCCACCTCTTGTCTAAACATCCCAGGGGTTTCCTGTGTGGCTAACCTGAAAGAAAGAACCGTGTCCGAACACAAAAGGGAGCAGTGTGCTGCACATATTATGACATACCAGCTCCTTAGGTGGAACAAGATGACCATCCAAACCAAACAGTGTTTCACTTCTTTAGGAGGTTTAGGTTTTCTTTGCTAAAATTCAAAGGTAGTGGAATACAAGCTCAGCAAATCCTTCTCTTCCCCATGCAAATCTGCTCCACATGGAGACTATATATATATGGGGATAAAATGAACAATCACCATACAACAAGAGGCGAGCTAAAAATAAAAGCTATAGAGTTTCTCATGATTCGCTGCCATGTGACACCATTGAGCCTTTTCTTGACCTTCAGCTGAGAGTTCTTTCCTTTTTCTCCCATCAGAGGTCGAGAAAGACTAAACAAGATTAGTCTATCGCTTTTTAAAACATCCTTTTGTTTTGGGAACTTTAACCGCTGCAATCAAACTGGTGGCAGAGGTGCATAGATCATTTTTAAAATGAAAAAGTAGAAATACTTCACAAAAAACTGACAATGTATCCATAAAGGAGCCACATATACGCAGAAATGTTATTTACAATAATTCTTAGGAGTTTATGCAAAGCTGACAAGTTACTTCCCTGTTTATTTCCCGTTTAGCAACAGAGGCTTTTGTTAGAAATTCAGAACTACTCACTTATCTTTATCCTTTAACCCAATGGTACAAAAAAAAGCTTTGAATTGTTAGTTTTAAAGGTTATTATATTACAAAGGAGTTAATTGAATAAAACGTAAACAAAACTGAGTTTATTAACAAAAATCTACGCTGAAAATCCACAATAAACCTGACCTCTGACCCTTGGCGGACCCTCCCAAAACGTAAACACTAAAATCTCTAGAACAACACATGCTTATCAGGACCTTGGTTAAGTTCAATGAAACATTTTCTGACCCTTTGCCAAACTTAAACTATTGGAGCAATAAGCAAACACTGGATTAACTGCCTTTCTGAAGTCCAACTAAACAACTAGCTTAATTACAATTCATTAAACAAGCTAACAATGCCGGCTGAAGCTCAGCCCATATAAACCATTTACACATTGACCATAAACATCATTGTCTGCAATGAAAGTGCTGAAATGCTGCAGGATCTCTCTGGTTTAACGGAGCACAGAATAATGAAGATGTCGCCCCACACTGCCAGTCAGCTGGCTGAATAAAGGCTGCCGATTGACAATGTTCCCAAATCAATGCGTGGTAACCAATTTACCTTCATCCATCACTGTTATTCAGCAGCTGCAGCTGAGCAGCCTCCCTACCAGAGCAGGCAGCCTGACTATTTCAGATTAGTTAGCAGTGAAATTCATCACAACCTTCAGCGAGTTGTTTTCTTAGCTAAAGGCATGTTTCAGAGCATGCACAGTATAATTAATCTATAACTAAATTATTACTTCAATGATTGATTGATCTGATTGAAATATTCCACCCTGCATACTTCTGGTTCTTTAATCATCTTGGAGACACACCTTGATCTGGGTATTTTTCCTGCATAATCTAAGAATCTCTTGCTGCTCTTTGTCTAAATACATCTTGAGACTTTTTTGCAGCTTTTCAGGTAAAGATGTTCTAAAAATGCAGGCTGAGCAATGGGGTAGCAGAACTGGGCTAACCTGTCCTTTTGTGCAACACTACAGGAGAACCTTGACTAGAATGTCTGTTAAAAAAAAAAAAAAGCAGAACAGGTAAAAATCCTGAATTTCCAGTGTCAAGAACGCTGAATCAAATAAGGAAGCCCTCTGCTCTGAAAAAGCTTTGCTTATTCTCTGCATTTCCAAGGTAACTAACTTTAGAATATGGTTCAGTGGAGAAAAACCTTGATCTCTGGAGTGGGACCAGGGACATTACTGTCCCATACTTAAAGGTATAGCGGAGGATGTTCTTTTTCCGGGTGGATCGGCAAAAAAAGTAATCCTATTAATTGTCGATCATTCTGGTGATATATTTACGTAATGCCGTCCTACGTGCTCGTCCCCATTTTCACTTACCGGTGGCGAGTCTGACATAGCGGAAAAATTGCAAATCTATTAAGTTTGCATGAGCGTTGCAAACAGCAACTTTTAAACGGAGCGTGCATGAGGATTAATCAGCTCATGCACACTCTTGCACGCGTTTAATTTTTGTTCCCTCTCGGGAGTCGGTACAGGGTGGAGGGGGCGGGTCTTTACAAAAATTAATGAAAATCCTCCATTATACCTTTAAGTCTCTCTGATTTGATGTTCTAAAGTGTAAGGATGAGATGGACTGTAAGTTTAATGAAGCTCTGGGGTGGGCAAACCCGTTCCATAATCTCACATACCAAACATACCGGACCGTTTGGGGCTAATACGTTAATCAGATTGCAAAATTACACTACTCTTTTCAGACACAGAAACCTATGGAAACGTAGAAAGATGGAACTCAGATTGCATTGTGAATTCAAATATATGCAAACAATGCAAAGCAACAGCACTACACAAAACAGGCTTGTGTGTAATCAGGAAGTTTCAACCCCTTACACTACAGCAGTTTTTTTAAACATAACTCCAGGTAGGAGGCATTGCTTGGAGCCTAGAGTGATGCGTGTGTGCGGGACAGATAGCGAGACAGAAATTGAGCCCCACCCTTAAAGGATCGCAGCAGGCCGGATGCCGTGCTCCCTTGAGCTTTGGAAGGAGATTAGGGTTGGACTCGCCGCTCTTGTAGTCAAGGTTTTTAAAATAAAACACACAAAATGCGACCAGCTATTCTGTTCTGGTGCCATGATAACTTTTAAAGTTTTTCTACAAAAAAAAAAAAAGGCCCAAGTTCAACTTCAAGGCCTGCATTAACCAACAGGCTTAAAAAGTAGCTTAACAGCTGAGGCATTAGTGAATGACCAAACTGTTTCTTAAAAAGCTTGCAACAGAGTTTTCTCATGTTACAACAGCATGCGCAATAAAATTCACAATAAAGCTGCTCTGGCTCCCCTAACCCCATCCTTAGTTATTAATAGAGTTGCACCAATAATTTAGGCAGAGATCAGGATCAAACACTGTTTCCTGAAATGGTGCTTATAACTTTTTTCCAATTTATTAGATTAATTCAATTTAAATACTCCCATAATTTACACTAATAAATGCACCAACTAACTACATGCACTTACTTTAAGCTCCTTTTTTAAGCAAAGAGACTAGAAAATTGTTCCATCTTTTTTATGTTAGTCATCAAGAAAAATAAATCTGACCTCAACATAATCAAGTTATTAAAATATCTGCTGTTGATGAAAAGATAAATGCTAAAAAAAAACAACAACATTGTCACACTTTTCCCATCAGGAACAGGCTTTAATGATTTTCTTACTGAAAATATGACAATTTCTTCCTGCAAAGAGGCATGAGGAAGAATAATACTAATTCCCTGAAACTAAATGGTTGAGAACAATAGAGATAAATGAATACCTGCATAGCTACTGGTATTTACACACAAGTGCATAGTTGTTAAGAGTCAGGAAAGTGCACGCACCTGTTATAGATTGCCCCTATGAATGGAATGAGAAAAAATATATATTTAAGTGGATTTTGAATAATGCAGATTGTTTTTTTTGTGTTTTAAAGCAAATATGCCATGAATTAAACAAACAAAATATAATGAAGTATGATTTTGTGAATAGAAAAAAAAACTTTAAATACTCTCCAGTATCCCAGAAATGGGACAAATATTAATCAAATTATAAAGATTAGGAGAGGAGGAAGTGCTCAAAATTTGCTAAGGAGAAGGTGGGAAAAATGTGCAATGAGACAGAATCTGATGAGGTAGAAATGAATCAAATTTGATATAAAAAAAAGAAGAGAGAAGGGGCTGATGGGTGCATAGGAGTCATTGTTCAGGAGTAAATCATGTGATAGTCACACTGGAGCAAAGCTTGAAGGAAACCCTGAGAAAAAACATCAGACAAAACGCTAAGGAAGTTGGACCCCGCAAACCTAGAATTGCTTACATTAATCAACAAAATCTGCCTGTCTTTGAGCACTCTTTTGGTTGGAAAAAATTTATTTTGCATCAGTTAAATGCATTTTTGTTTATTTTTTTTAATTATTTTTATTATTATTGTGTTACTATTTTAAACCCATAGTTAAAAAACATCAAACAAAACTCTAAGGAAGTTGGACCCCGCAAACCTAGAATTTCTTACATTAAGCAACAAAATATGCCTATATTTTAATATTTGGGTTGGAAAAACTTATTTTGCATTAGTTAAATGCATTATTTATTTATTTTTTTTTTTGGTAATTGTTGTGTTACTATTTTAAACCCAAAATTAAAAAACATCAGACAAACCTCTAGAGTTTCTTACATTAATCAACAAAAAAAAATGCCTTTCTTTTTACTCTTTGGGTTGGAAAAGCTTATTTTGCATCAGTTAAATGCATTTTTGCTTATTTTTCGTAATGATTATTGAGTTATTATTTTAAACTCAAAATAGAAAAAAACAGACAAAACTTTGTGGACCCCACAAACCTAGAATTTCTCACATTAAACAACAAAATATACCTTTCTTTTTAACTCTTTGAGTTGGAAAAGCTTATTTTGCATCAGTTAAATTCATATTTGTTTATTTTTTGTAAAAATCTTTATCTGTTAAAAACCCCAAATTAATAATAAATTAATTATTTGGACAGCCTTTGATACACCTAGTGTATTACACCATCGGCCATGTGCTGGAGTTAAATATATAAGTGAGGCTCCTCCATCACACCATAAGAATGACAGGGTAAGAAAGGTTGAGGGTTCAGGCAGGAGACAACTGCTGTCCTCCCAGGGTCAGCAGCAGTGCCAGTTTCCAGTCAGTGAAGGAGACTGGAGCCTCTATCACTCTGATATCCAGCTAGCTGTTGAACGTGACTACCGGCTTCTTCAGTTATGGCGTCCTTTTGCCGCGCAGCATGTCAACCTTGCCGTTGAGCAGGGAGACAACGTGCTTCTGACAGGTGCTTTCACCTTTTGTCACGGGAATGTCGAGAAACGAGCTTCATAGGCCATTGTGTGCCATATTGAAAATGTAATTGTCAATTCAAACACTTAACTGCAGATAACATTATCCTGTACAAGCTTAACTTATCCATAAAAATAAAGAGGTTTAGTATTTCAACGCCTCCGCCTTTGAACTTGTGTTAACAAAGCCGACTCTCGCACAATTCTTCAAATGTAGAGTTTATTAACAGGTTATAACACTCACCTTCCCTTCTCAGCTGAAAAACTCAAGTCTTGCTTCAATGGCAGCTTCTGACACGAGGGAACTGCTGCGGTGAGCTCCTTACTCACCGGCCCGGATGCCCTTGAGCTGCAGACCACGCTGCTGGCAGCTTTATCGCAAAGATTGGAGTGTGCGTAACTACGTCATCCCGTCATACGTCAGGAGAACCGGTTTACATGCTCTCTTTCATACAGAGAAGCCCACAGCAGGAGAAATAATTTATCTCTCAACTTCTTCTTTCAAACACAACAGTTTAGTGTTAGTTCCTCACGGAGTCAAAAATTTATACACTGACTTTATAAGACTTTAAAACTAAAAAACAAAAACATTAAGGTTAAAATAAGGTCACCTTCAAGGATGGAAACCATACTTGTTCTCCTTTCATGGCGATAATTCGTGACCTTAGAGAGCTCGGAAAAGCCTAATTTAGTAGTAATTATTTTTAATGAATGTTAAATGTGTATATTGTTTTATTTTTGTTGTGTACTTAATTTTTTGCAACTTGTTGGCCAGGACTCCCTTGAATAGGAGTCTTTTAATGTCAATGGGGCTCTTCCTTGTAAAATTAGTAGTTAAAACAAATTTAATAAAACATTTATTTTCAAAGTAAAAAAAAGTCAACCATTACAACATTCACAAAAAATAAACTGTAATAGCAGTTGACTAAATTTTCAAAAGCAAATAGTAAAGATTTTGATTAAAATATAACTAAAGGCTTTGATTTAATCAATGGCAGATCTTAATTAATTAATGGGGGAGTCAGTCCATTGGTGCCTTATTTGCATTAAAAAATTGGCTTTGCAAGAATCGCCTGAGAAGCAAAACAACATATTTAGAAACTTTATTTTTTGTTGGTTTCACACATCTATGTTTGACTGGAAACAACAGCAACCACAAAAGATTGTTTTGGGTAAATCTGGGTTGGTGTAGCCAAATAATAATAATCTAACATCAACTGAGAAGAAGTGGAGGTGATCTTGAAGAGTATAAATAAAAGCAGTTCACCCGGACAACAAACTAGACTGGAGACACAACTGTGAAGCTATCTACAAGAAAAGACAGAGCAGATTGTACTTACTAAAGACGCTTCGGTCCTTTAGCTGCAAGTCTGTTGTGGAGAGTGTGATCTCGTCTGCATTATAGGGTAACACTTTTAGATTATCAATACTAATGACTTAAAAAAAGCTCAACAAGCTAATAAAGAATGTCAGCTCTGTTCTAGAAACTCCTCTAAGACCTCATAAGACTATTTCACAAAGAAGAAATCTTCATAAAGTGAAGAACATCATTGACAACAGTGATCATCCTCTTCAGAAGATTTTTAAACAACAACAGGGTGTTCAGTCAGAAGCTTCTCTAAAATCGGTGCAAGAAAGAACCGATACAGAAGATCCTTCCTGCCTACAGCTATCAACACTTACAACACCTGTTTAAAAATAACTTATGAGTCACTGCAACATTTAACATTTCATTTCCTTTTTGGATTAATACATTATTTTTGAATTGAATTGAAACGATGATGCCCTGGGTAGAGAGCCACAGCACCATAAACCTCCACTGAATTGAATGCATATCTGCATATCTGTATTGTGTCATAAATAAAGATGAATTATTCAATTTGTTATTAAGACTCATGGCTGAAAAAGTTTCAGTTTTTTAGCAAGATTCTAAAATCTTTATCTAGGATCAGCTGCTAAAGTACAGCGTTGTACTACGGCATCTTAACCCTGAAGTTAAGTTGTCTGTGAATGGTACCTCTTAGCTTTGATTATCAGCAATATGTTTTATTTAGAAAGCTTCACTACCATTCAACAAGATTTAAAACTGAATGGAAACCATTTATTTATTTCATTTCCAGGCTTGCAAATTTATGATCAATAATTCCCTCCAGATTCCATTGGATCATTTCTGCATACTTCTCTATACATTGAATAGTCGCTTCAGTTGTATTGCTGCAGCAATTCCTCAACCTGATTTAGTTCATCATATGTATTTTTTATTTACTGATAAAAATATGGCTAAATAAATGATTTCTTTGTTGTGAAATTCTAAAATGACTCAAGAGAAATTGCTTTAACCCAGATATGATTAGTGAAAAAGCAGTTCCAGTATGACTTAACTGCAAATAGCTGTTTACTCTCTAATATATGTCAGTAATCCCATCAGAGCCGATGATAACCCAACAATGACAGCGGCCCTCACGTGTCATAATTAGTATTTTCAATTGCTTTAAATGCATTAAGTCCTGTTTGTTGTTAATGCTTACTTTAAATAGATGTAACGCATAATTAAGGATTTTTCGAGCTCTTGTTTTCTTTCAGTTTTATTGCATTTTTACCCCCCTCCATAAAATAATACCCTATTTTACAATAGGTTTTAGTGGGTGGACAGATGGACTACCTTGAACAATCGCCAGGCAGTTCACAGACAGATCGGCGTCTCCCTCCGTCTGCTCACCTTGAAATTAAGCAAACACATTACTATCTGCCAGGACCTTTATGCTTTTTCACCCACTTTTCCACAGCCTTTTCTTAAGGCAGCAGCTGTGAAAATGTCAGCTGTGGTAAAGAGTTCAGTTTTGTAGCTAAGCTGACTCAGCGACACTGATTTTTTTCCACTTGTCTGAGGCTTTCTTTACCACATGTTGAACCAAAATTCATCTTGTGGTTGGCACACTGGTTGACTATAGTACAGTATTAGTAAAGTGCAAAGACTGACCCCACACCACCTAACCATTTGCCTTCTGTTACTGAAGCCAGACCTGATAAATAAGAGAGACATGTTTTTATCTGCCTTTACTTTGCAGGGGAAAAAAATACCATTTGTGACTCAGCACCTAGAACAAATTGATAATTCGACTCTTATATCAATCATTATGTCCGGGCAGACAAATCAACAAACTGCGGGATTGGGCATTGTTGGTGGGCAGACGTAAATCAGTCGCCGCTGGTGGTAAATTATTAGTAAATCTTAAACAGAAACTTGGCAGCCCTTTGGGTTTTTGATAAACTGCAGTTGTGTTTATTTGGCCTGAGATTTTAATCATTGATTATTGGGTGAAAACAGCTTCAGGGAAGATTATGCGACTGCACCTATAATTGCTTTTTTTGTTTGACTTCAGTAATTACATGTTTACACTTATCTGCTAACATGCAATTTGTGAGATCTAGAGAATACTTGATGCCATTGAGGGTTTGCTTAAGATTCCCCTGGACAGTTATGTATTATAGAACCTTGCAACCATGGTCATAACTTTACATCATTAGTAAATATAGTCCACCTGTGTGGAGTTAATTTAAATATAAAAGAAGTTGTGGTGGAAAGGAGAGTGAACAGCAGAAGGAAGACAAAAGAACACAGTAGACACATTACGGAGAAAGTTGTAGAGAAATTTCAAGTAGTTTTGGTCCATAAAACACCAACACAGTGTTTTAACATGTGACAGAGCTGCAGAAAAGAGAGCTCTGATGAGAATCACAGCCCAGACTCCCCACTGTAGGTCCAGATGAGGTATGTAGTTTGATTAAGATGACTTCTATAGTGTGGAAAATAGTAACACCCTTGCAATTTGTCCCACATCATGGAGCGTCTTCAATGCTCCTAACTAAGGGAAGGAGGTTGTTTCCCAAAATCTCAAAATACATGGCCCTGTTCATCCTCTCCTTAATAAAGTGCAGTCGCCCTTTCCCATGTGCAAAAAATACACCTATGATGCTTCCACCCCCATGCTTTACAGTAGAGACAAAGTTTTTTAGGATCATACTCTGAATTCTTCCTCCAAACACAAAGAGTGGAATTAAGACCAACCAGTTCTCTTTTGGTCTCTCCTGATCGCAGAACTTCACTTTCACTTCATTTTCTAGCAAATAATCCAACATTAAACAACAAAACAACAATATCAAAACAAAACAAAACCAACAATTTACCAAAAAAAGGAATAGGCTGAAGCAAAGCTTATTATTGCCTACCCTGTTTTATACTTACAACCTTTACAACCTACCAGGTTCTTTACTGCATACATAAATATTCAAAATAATAATATTCAAATCTACATAACATAGGATTTTATCATTTTACATTTTAAAGCCCTTTTAAAATTCACCAAGAAAGGACATAACTTTAAATCATCATTCAATTCATTCCACATTTTTACACCAATAACTGAAACACATCTAGACTTTATCTGGCTTATCTCTTTTGCACATTCAAATATTAACAAACCTCGCAAATTATATTTATTTTCTCTTAACTTAAATAATTGCTGAATACCAGAAGGAAGACTTTTGTTCTTATGCACTATTTCCAGTATTTTTATATAAACAATGTCTTTGAATTTTAATGTGTTGCTTTGAACACTTTGAACGCTTTTGAACTTTCTCCCATGACTCCTCTGGGTCATCTAAATGGTCTCTTCAAGGGAGGTTGACAGTCATATAATTTTTTAATTATTGCTCCAAAAGTTTATCCTTTTTCACCAAGCTGCTTGGCAATGACCCCATAGCTCTCTCCATCCTTGTGGAGGTCTATACTTTTGTCTTTGGACAGCTCTTTGGTCTTAGCCATCTTTGTAGTTGGAGGTTTACTGATTGTGTGGGGTGGACAGGTGTCTTAATGCAGCTAAAGACCTCAGTCAGGTGCATCTAAATTAGAGGTCTTTGAGGGCCTGAATTTTTGCTGATTGGCAGCTGATCAAATACTTATTTGCAGCAGTATCTTGCAAACTAATTATTTAAAAATCATATATTTTGATTTTTTTTTATGTTTGATTATGTTTCTAAAAGTGGTCATGCACCTAAGATGAAAATGTCAGACCAAGATTTGTGTCAATATCTTAAAATACTTTAAAATGTTAGTCATTTTTTTTTCTGCAGTTGAAATCGATATGTTACATATAATCACTCTGCAAAATGAGTAAATATATCCAATCCTTTATTTTTTAAAAGATTATGGCTTTTAGATAGCAAAAACCAGATTACAGTCTCTCAGAAAATGTGAATATTTGGAACAATTAACATTAACTAACAGGTAAGCGAAAGGAAAAGGGGTCATACCAATGGGTGAATCAGCAACAGAGAAAGCTGCAGCCTTGAGGGGATTGACAAG